AAAAAAAAAAAAAAAAAACCAGATGCTTAAAACAGCCTCTACAATGGGCTATTCCACTATTCTTAGGATAAAGAACAGTTTATGTTTATATTTCTTAATGTACTTCATTAAACTGTCAGTGATAGTTCTAAGTTTGATCAGTAATTGTTGTCTTGGAATTCAATTTTTAAAATTTGTTTAAAATGAATTTTTCTTTAGGTCAGAGTTTAACATAAATTAGAAACTAGAAAGTTCAGAGGCATCCTGGAACTCTATTCTCAAAATTCTTTTCCCTCTTTAATTCCAATGACTTTCCCTCTACTCTATCTACATACTATTCATTCCTTCCTCTCTTTTTTTTCCTTCATTCAGAGTATTTACTATGCATAGGGATGTAAGGTACACAGTCATTGCCAAAGAGAAAATCAAATCTCTTGAGAATACATATATATATACAGAGAGAGAATGGATAATTATATGCAATATAAGTGTAACAATAAGAGGAGCAAAGGGTATCACTGCAAAGTACTAACGGGGTGGGTGTGGTCAATGTGAGAGTAGTGGAAGAGTCTGGAAAGGTTAAGTCTCAGAGGAAGAGTAGGACACAACCAGGTAAAGAGCAGGATGAAAGGCATTCCTGACAGTGGGGAAACATGAGAAGAGTAAGATTATGAGGAGATGCAAACGGTACACGTCTGCTAGATTCATTAAGTGCTGGGCAGGGAATGGGAAGAGCTGAAGCTGCAGAGATAAGCAGAAGCCAGATTACTGAGGTCTCGACTGCTGTGTCAACATAGAAATAGAGTGATCATATAGAATCTTCTTGCTCAAAATGTACCTTCTGAATTCTTGTTATAAACTTTAATATATTTGATTTCAAGATCACAAAGCCCATTTCTATATTTAAGGAAGAATCTTTTTTGTTGTCTAAAGGGACTTTTGGGAAAAAATATTACAGTTATTAGATATATACTATTAGATAGAATAATCATTTTGGGAAAAGACTGAAGGACAAATCCTTTAGCAAGAACCTGTCAATCACGTAACTGAAAAGAATACAAATGTAGCCTTGTCACTTCTAAGCATATCCATCTTTTTTTTTTCCCCTACAAAAAAATCCTGTTTCAGAGCTTAACAAGGCCTTCTGCAAGGCCAGCAGTACCCTACCATTCTACTGCCCCTCTGAAATGGGCATCTTGCTGATGATTAGCTTGGTAGATGAACCAGAAACAAAATCAAGTCTTCAATCTGAAAAAACGAGAAAACATTAAGCACCGCCTCAGGCCCGGTGGTAAACCTATGGCATGTACTTTGTAATGGGAAAAGGTAAGATTGCACTTACATCTCGGGCTTTCACATAGAAGGCCTCTTGAAAAGCAGCTTCTAATGAGCCAATAAAAAATACAGGATGGCAGTCACCATATCTATAGGAAAAATTGCGTCAATTAATTAAAATACATTTCAAATTCACTTCAAAGGTTCACAAGTCTAACCAATGACTTTAAAACGTCGAGGCTAATGTCTCTTAAGCACAGACCAAACATTAAAACATTTCTTTAAAGGCTTGAGAATGAGCTTCATTAATTTTTATAATTCTTCTTGGCCTATACTGATATATTAGAACATTGGAATTTTAAGTACATCTAGCAAATGGATTTAATAAGTGCTACGAAACCATGCCATTTATAAGTAGCAATTCCTTGTTACCCATTTTCATAAGATTTTCCTAATTACAGTAGCCTTAACTTTCCATTTTAGTTCACTTATTCCAAAAGTCCAACAGAGAGGCAAAAAATGGTATCTTGCAAAGTTTCCAAATTATATCACATTGGAAAATAGAACTAAAGAAAAATATTACTTACATGAAAATTTAGGGTTAAATATTTAAATCCTCTTTGCTTAAACACCTTAGGGGAATCTCAAATGTATATAAAACATTTTATTAGACTCTTAGCAGAAGAAATGCTAAATAATTCCAAAACAAAAATTAAAAGAAAAAAATTAACTTACATTTAAAATTTTTAAATTATCCTTTTATTTAATATTATTTTAAAGGCTATTTTGTTTGTTTTAGGATATATTAAAAAATTAATAACTTATAACCTAGTCCTTTGGGGAATATAGTCAAGATATTAAATCAGTGATTCATTTATTGTATTTCTATAAAGATATAGAGATAAATACATCTCTGAAGTGGCAATTAATGGTTTACTAGCTATCTGACATTAAATACTATATGTTTCACTATCAGGACTACATAAATTGTTAAATGCATCTTCTGAATACTCTAAGGAAAAATTAAAAACAATCCATCTATGATTAGAATTGTTCCAGAAAAATCACAGTAGCATTAAAAGAACATCAATTTTATATATTAAAGTGCTAACCCTACCTTGAAGAAAACTCTGCTGCAAATTGTAATAAGGCTTCGTCTTCATTTTCTGCATTTTCTGGCACTAAAAAACAAACAAAAGAAAAAACAAAAACAAAAAAAACAAAACAAGTAGACACAAAAAACAAACCACATAACATCTAATCCCACATATAAGAAATATATTCAATCAATAAAGAGGAAAGAAAATTAAATTTTAGCTTCTGTGATACATCTGAGGAGACATTTTAACTTGACACACATTGGAAGATTTCATCAGACCTTAAGTAAGAACCTTAAAAAAATTCCAAGCTCATAAATTTTGGAAAACCAACTGACACAATCTGTTAAGCATTTTAAACATGTGTCAGTCATCAATTAGGATTTCAATGTTTTCTTGAAATGACATTTTGTGATTAAATTATATAACAGGATCTGAAAATTTTTTAATGACTTTACTAATCAGGAAAATAGTCAGTTTTATGTAAATATCACATCAATTTCTGCCCACAGGAGTTCCCTAATTTCACAGAGTAAATGAGCCATTTAAGGACTTATTTTAACAGTCATTTGCATGTAGCACTGCTTGCAATTCTACAATATGCATCTTGGAAAGTGGAAGTGAGGGATATGGCGCATTTAGTTTACTGTTTTCCTTCTAAAGATGGATATCAGTGAATAGAGAAGTAATATTACTACTCAAAACTGATATCTCCAATAAGATGTGGGGAAACAAGTACAGTCACAGAAAGTACAGCTATTTGTTTACCAACCTCTAGGTTTAAAGAGACAGACTCATAACTAACTATACATATGAAGCAAAAGGTACATTCCCTTGTATTTTTAATGAATTTTACTAAAGCACTGGGAATCATTGGGCTTAATAAAATCAAACCTTAAGAGACTCTGGTTCTAATAAATAAGGCCTACTTTCTATATTTTATCTTTCCAAACCTGGAAGTCAGTAAGTGATTTTTAAGTTCACTGTTCTTCCTAAGTTTCTGCACTAGGAGGGAGAATTATAAAGCTGGACCCAAAGAACGATTAATACTCACTCATTGGAGATTTTCTGAGAGCAGAAGATGCCATGCCGAAAACTTCTCCATCATCCACCCCAAATTCAGAAGCATCTTCAAAGTCATCTCCTTCACTATCACTAACCATATGAACATCGGTGCTTTGCTATTTAAGGAAAGTCCTGATTAGTTTCATACTGACTTTAGGAAATCAAATTCTAAAATATAAGTTCTGTAATCACAATAGGACATTAGCATTATAAAAGTTTTATTAAATAAGAAGCCATTTGCTAGAGTAAAGCTTAATATGTTTTCTTTTTAAGGCTTACACATATTTCTAAACTTGCTGTGATACTCCAGACTAAAGGTTGGAGACTGAGGGAAAATGAAAGACGCTTAAAAACTCAATGAAGACAGGGATTTTTGTGTGTTTTATCCTCAGCCTATAGTACACAATTAAGCACTCAATAAATATTTGCTCAATAAACAATGAGATGGGTACAATCAGAGAGGCAAAGACAAAGTAAGCTAGTATATGAATCTTTCAAAAAGCTCACATTAATCTATGTTTGTCAGGTAGAAGCAATGGCAACATTTTCAAATTTGCCACTTCCTTACTGCAATGGTTCTCAAATTTCTCATTAGTGAAATATGCTATACTCTCCTCACAGTGTTAGTGGAAGATAACATGAAATACACTACATATGACAGCTCTTTGTAAACCAAAGCTATTGAATATGAGATGTAATAATGACACTTGAATTTAATAAACATTCATCGAGAATTTACTACATGCTGGTCACTGATAAACATGCTCTGTTTATTTTGTTTTCAGGAACATCAGTTGTGGCTTAAGGTATTACAATTAAAAACATCAGCATCAAAATATGAACTGGCTGCTGATCTCTAGGTTAGAACGAGATCTCAAAAATACTGAGATTTAAAACATTTGAACTGAGTTGTGAATACCGACAAATATTTATGCATTGTATGAGAACGGGGGTCCCAGCAAGGTATCTGGCTAAATGCCTGTCTGTACAATGTTTAATAAATAAAGTCTACAAAGACTAATTAATAAGTGAAATTCCTACCTTTTAAAATATGGCACTATGTACTTAAGTTAGGAAAATAGGGAATCTATTTGATCCTTCAGTCTATGCAGAAGAGTCTAACTTAGAGATAAATAATTGCCAGAAAAGCACCAAGAGAAACCTAGAATCAAAGACTCATAAAACTTGGCTAGAGGGAATGTTAAGAGTTCAGCTAGTCATAGAATCATAGATTTTAAAGCTGGTAGGGATTTTAAAGATCTCTCATCAATGGTTTTCAAACTTCTTTTCACAGGGTTACCTTGTTCCTCTGGCCCCAAGCAAAATATTATGTAAAATTACAGTGCACACAATAGATAAGAGAAAGGCCACTGGGGTGATGCAGGGAGAGAGCAATGAGAAGCCTAATGCTCCTGGACTTGGCCTTTTCTTCTTCATATCCCTTTGACAGCTGGGGTACCTCTGAAGGATCTCAGGACACTATGGAACAATTTTTAAAACTACTGATCTAGTGAGTCTAACAGCTCCAAATGAGGAAGCCAAGATATTTACTCCACTTGACTAAGTAGGCTTAGCATTTCCTCTTGGGGCATAACCAAGCATTAATGTCCAGAGTTATAACATTTTCCCTCTTATCTTAAAGACAGTCTTCCCAATGGTTTGAGTAGAGAAGGTAATGAACATGTACTTATTGGATGAATGAAAATGAATGGTCCTTGCCCTAAGCAGTCTATCTGCTATTCTGACTGTACCACTATTTCTCACAGAAGCCTTGGTTCTACTTGTGATCCTAATCTTACTATAGTGTTTCACTTTGCAGAACCAAGATACCCACCTGATTTCAGCAATCCCACAGATTAAAAATTCAACAGCCCCTCCTCATTTCAAAGCAGTGAAGGAGCCTCCTCTACAAAATAACACATTTACTAGGACCACAACTACGCTTGAATTCCCTCTGTTTCAGGCAGGCAAATATCTCAAGCATGAAGTTCCCTTGAACTTTGAGGCTCAGTCTTAAACAGGTAAAGGCTCAGGATCTAAAAGGTACATGCTCCTTTTGGGTGCTTAGCCAGGTTCACAGGCAAGTGGAAAGAAATAAAGGTCCAAAGGACAAACCTTCTCACGTCCTTGATCAGCTAAACTATCATCTCAGCCTTCACTTAGTCTTGCCTGGTACTCCCCCCTTGCTTTAAGAGGTATCAGGTTAAGAAGGAGGGCTGGAGGACACAGGGATGAAAAAGAAAGGGACTGTTCCACATATCATCTTTGTTTTCTCACTCCTTTTACCTTACCCCCCCCACATCTATCCTTTCTCCTAAATTCACTTTTCAAATAATAGCCCCTTTCCATAACAATAGGACTTTACGTCAAGCTAGGATAGTGATTGTAATTTTGTACCTATGTAACCCATTATTCATTTTGTCTTCACAGAGTATAGAATTCCCAAATCTCTTAAGATCCCGGAAAGCGAAATCCTACCATGACAACATCTTCAAAGGGAGGTATCTACAAAGCCGATTTTGTTGAAAAAAGTATATTTCAAACATGAATTATTGAAGTATCTGCAAGAATGAGCTACTTAATTATGTATAAGGAACTCCCAATCTCTTCACATTTTTTATCAGCCATCTAACAGGTTAGGAAAAGCTTTTTCGAAAAAATGAGATAAACAATCTTTTTTTCATTAATGTTTGCTGATGAGAGTAGATAATATCTTGGTTTAGTCATGGCTGCCCTAAAATTCTTTGAATCCAGAGAAGCTGTTTATTCAGATTTTAAAAACAGATAAAAAAAAATCTGTGATTCTGTTTTGGTTGTTTATTGCACTCATTTTTCCCCTGTGTCACTTAACAAACTTTTACAAACCCCTACTAAGTGCCACAGTGCCTGGATCTGTGTGAAAGACATAGTCCATGCTCTCTCAAGGAACACCATATAATATACACAGATAACTATAATACCTAGTGATAAGTGTTAGGACAGGTAAGTTCAGACGAGAGCACTTAACACACTGGAAGTGGGAGGGATGAGGGCAAACTTCCCAGAGGAGATCATAACCAAACTCTTTGAGACAAAAGTTTAGAATTCATACATATTTGGCACTAAGGCAAGCTTATAACTGAAGCAGATGTTCCTTTCACCAGCTATTTATTATGTCGAAGCACCAGGTTAAAAGCCAGGGATACAGAGATAAAACATGGTTCTGGCCTTCAAGAAATTCCCATTCTAAAAGAAGATATATTTAGCTGCAAATATGTCTTTTTCAGTGTGATGAGAGATACAATAAAAGTATAAGCAAAGGCTATTGGAGAATAAAGGAGAGAATGATTAGTTATTCTAGGACCAGTGAAGAAGACCGTGCCAGGCTTCACACAAGTATTCATATTTAACCCATACCTTTAAAAAAGACAGCAATGTTGTGGAGTGTGTGCAATGGATGACTGGTTGGGAGAGAATTGTGCTTTAGACAGAGAAAAAACTCAAGCAAGGAACTGGATACTTAAAAAATCAATAAAGAGGGTCAGCCCTGGTGGCCTAGTGGTTAAGTTCGATGTACTCCGCTTCAGCGGGCCGTGTTCAGTTCCCAGGCGTGGACCTACACCACTTGTCAGTGGCCATGCTGTGGTGGCAGCCCACATATAAAAAAAAATAGAGGAAGGCGCCCAGGTGTTAGCTCAGGGAGAATCTTCCTCAGACAAAAACAAAACAAAGAATTCAGAAAGGCAAACTGAATCATCAGCTTTATGTATGGGAGAGGAATGTGGACTAGCAGTTAAGGGCAACAAGTTTGATAGAACTAGGTTGTGGCAGTCCTTAAACTAGCATGCTAAGGCATTTGGACTTTACGCTGATGGCAATAGGGAAATCACTAAAGGTTTTTAGGCAGAGAACTGTTCAAGGGAACAATTCTGACGGCTGTGTGTGTGTGTCTGGGTGGTGTGGTAGCATATGGCAGACTGGACTTGAAGACATAAGAAGGAGACTTATTTCAAAGTTCCAAACGAGAGAACTTGAGGGCCTACTCTTGAGCAGTAGCAGTGGGAATTGAAATGAAGAAGGATAGACTTAAAATATACTTCAGCCGAACTGATAGGAATTGTTGACCAATTAGATTTGAGGATGGAAAAAACGGAAGAGGCAAATATGACATCAAGATTTCTAGTTTGGGTAACTGAGTGGGTAGAGAAGGTCAGGTCTGGTGAGGGAGGATACTGAGGCCAGTTCTCAGATAGAATAATTTGAGGAAGCTGTAGGACAAACAGATAAAAACATCTAGTAGGCAGCTGGAAAAAAAATCTTCTTAGGAGCCGGGGAAACAGGCCCAGAAAAGATTTAGATTTGGAAGTAATTAGCATATAAATAACAGTTGAGGTTATAGGAATGAATAAGATCACTCAGTTAAAAAATAAAGGAACAAAAGTGATAAGGATAAGAGTTTACAGAATATGCATATCCATAAATATGTAAATATATATATAAATATTTCAATTGGTAAAGGAAGAGAACAGTAAAAGAGATGGAGAGATAGCTGTCAAAGATCAGAAAGTATACTGAAAGAATCTTAGAAGCAAGGTCTGAGAAAATTTCAGTGGAGACAAGAACTGTAAACAGGTTCAGTAGGATGAGAATTCAGGAAGAGACAGCTATAGTATTAGGACAAAAACAACATGACAAAGAAATCTGAATTTATAATCAAAAGACCCAATGTTGAATACTCTACCATTTTTTGTATGACTCTGGGCATGCGTCTTTGCATCCCCACTGCAGAATGTGACTAATATTGATCTACAAAGGTGGCTGTGAAAATGAAAACAGATGGCATAGCATGAAATCTTACAAAAACTATTATCTGACTCTAATAGTTAAATTTAATTTTAGTTACATGGTAGAAAGAAGCCAAGTTACAGTGAATTAAGTGAATAGAAGATGAAGAAATAGTCATCCATTATAGATTACTCTAAGAAGCCTGGCTGTGAAAGAAAAGAAAGATGGAGCTAAAGCTTGAGGGGCAGCCAGGTTTCAAGGAATGTTTTTTTTAGGATGAGAAGATATGAACACGTTTTTAGGATGAAGAGAAGGAATTAATAGAGAGGGAGAGGATAAAAATGCAAGAGAGATCTTTTACCCTTCCCACGTTGTGAGAAAGGCTAGTGAGGGTAGGATCAAGATAATGGGCAGAACATAAACTCCAACAGCAAGAAACTTCTCAACTAACAAATTAGGGTAACAAATTTGATGCCAATATAAAAATACCCTTATTTGAATAGCCAAAAAGGAAAGGTCATAAAAGTCTCGATGTATCAGATCAATTGGGACAGTTTCAAAGAAGAGCTGGTCCCTCAGTGACCAGAATGCACAGTTTTTGGCTTGAGTTGATGATGAACAGTAATGGGGAGACATGGTAAGTGCAGTTTTGTACAGAGTGAATCTGCAGTTAGCATTCAAATGGAGATGTTCAGGAGAAACTGGATTACTATTTACCTTGTCTGCCTATGGTGCAATCCCACCCTATGTTGGAAGGAGCCAATAGTATGTGCCATTGCACCATAGGTAGACAAGCTAAATACTTATCTCACCAAGTTTTAAAAATTGAAATACAGATTTTGGGCAATTATCTGAGTTCAATTTCATTTTGTTAGGTACAAGCTCCTTTATGGAAAAACTGCGTTCTTCACAGCTATATTCCCAGCACTTGAACCAGTACCAGGCATAGAGCAGGTATGCAATCAGTATTTAATGAATGAATATTTTATGTCACTTAAGCCAAAACCTAGGTATCATTCTTATCTCTTCCCTCTCTCTTGTCTCCCATAAATCCTATCCGTCACCGGTCCTACTGATTTTCCTTCCAAAATATTTCTTGAATCCATATCCTTCTCTCTTTTTACTAATGATGTTCTACTTCAGGATCTCATTATCTTTTGCCTGTACTAGTAAAATATATTCATATCTGATTTCCCTGTCTCCAGTCCTACTTCCCTTATAGCTAGCCACTGCACAGCAGCCAAACTGCTCTTCTTTAAAATATATATTTGGGGAAAAAAAATCATTCCCTCCTTAAAAGGCTTTTATGGCTCCTCCGAGTTCAAGTTCCCAACTTAACATACAAGACCTACTCATCTTTGCCTCATCTCTTCTTTTTTTGTTTCCCACTTCCTTTTGCATGAACACCAAACTGCACTCATCTCTCCCTATACACTCTATCAGATCATGCTGTTCCTCTGAATGGAATACTACTTCCATGTTTCTTCATTTGGCTGACTTTGTGACTCATTCTTTGTCATTCGATTTGGATGTCATCTCCTCTAGTCTTTCTTCTTCTCTTTTTAAAAAATATTCATTCATAAATATTTATTCTGTGGTTGGTATGTGCCCGACACTACACTAGATGTTAGGGCTACAGAGGTGGACACGGCTTTTAACTTGCAAACACTCTTGAAGGTTACACTCCTCCACATATTTGTCTTTCCCTAGTATCTTGTACTTGCCTCAATTTTTTCCTTAATTATACAATATGAAATTATCAGTTCAGATTCATCTGACTAGCACATAGTGAGTATTCAATAGATGTTTCCTTAACTGACGTTATAAATGAATGGTTTTAGCATTAACTACATTTGAAATTTGTTTTTTGTTATTCCTGGGGTACCCCTCCTCCTCCTTCACTGTCAACTGAGGATTGGATAATTCCCAAGGAGCTTCGGTCCAGAGGGTCCCTACATTGTCCCACCCAAGCAGCTGGGAAGAGGGAGGACAGGTACCTAGCTAGATACCCAGAGATAATGGAAGATCATCAAGAGGAGGATAAGAAGGAAAGAGAAAATGTTGAATTATCATAAAGGAAATGTATTTGCAGGGCCAGAAGGAGGATGTAAGAAACAAAACTCCCCCAGCTAGAGGACACGTAACTATAATCCATAAAATTCAAAACTTGAATTCAACTACTGGTCTCAATATCTCCGTCCCAACTCAAGGCTTAATACAGTCAATAGCAAAACGGTAACTGTCTTGAAATACATGAAGTCATGTAGGAGAAGGGGTAAAACCAGAAGAAAGAAGCAGAACCACTGAGTGGAAGCTACAAGGACACAGGTTCCAGTTTAATATAAGGACAATATCAACAGACAGAGCTGCTCAACAATGGAACTGGTTGCCTCATGAGGACAGAACCCTGTCATTGGATATAAAACACAGGTATATTTTGAGGGGATATTTTCAGTGGGCTCTTTCAGCAAACAGACTGTGGTCCTAATGTTTGGAACCTAGAAAACATTACATAAATCTGTAAATGAATGAGGAATGAATGCATGGAAGAGTGGAAATCAAATAAAAAATCTCTTCCAGTTTTATAATTCTATGACAACATAAAAACCAAGTCACAGCTTCTTTCTCATTTCTCACCAGCCCCCTGGACGAGGTATTTACAGTTAGCCAAGAAAGGAAAAATAACGGACTCATGCCAGATAATCAGATTTTAAGATATTCCCGAGGCTGTGGCTGTTTTAGTTTGGCAAAGCCTCCTAACTCCACTCTACCTTCTTCTCTAATACCTAAAGAGTGTACCAGCCCCACAAACACTACTCCTCATTGTATGGCACTGACTGCTTTCTGCTGAAGGGACCACCCAAGTAACACGTATAATGGTGAGGATGAGAGAAGCAAATAAAATAAAGTGAAAGAGGGGCCAGCCCCATGGCACAGTGGTTAAGTTTGGTGTGCTCCGCTTCCGGGGCCCCGGTTTGCGGGTTTGGATCCTGGGCACGGACTGACACCACTTGTCAGCCATGCTGTGGCAGTGACCCACACGTAGAGTGGAAGAAGAATGGCAAGGATGTTAGCTTAGGGCCATTCTTCCTCAAGCAAAAAAGGAGGAATATTGGCAACAGATGTTAGCTCAGGGTGAATGTTCCTCAGCAAAAAAAAAATTAAAAAAATAAAATAAAGTGAAACAAGTATTTGTCCACCTCTTAGAGCATAGAATAATTAATAATTTTGGGTGGAGCTAGTTGGCCACCTTTTAATGTCAGTGGATTTATCCATTAAAGAGTTGAAGCATAACCTACTTTAGCTATTGAAAATATACTCAAGCACTAGAAAGAAATTATTTCAATAAATTATTTCTGGCAATTTCTGCCAAGCAGTGAAACTCAATACCATTTTTTCTTTCATTAGGATTAGTGAGATAAAGTGCTAGAAAAAATGGTGTGGGCTCTTTAAAGGAAATTAATATTTTTAGAGGCCCAAGAAAACAGTACAGTAGTATTTGTAGCAGGGGCAAAACCTTCCCTCTTTGTGGATTTCTAAAAAATGGTAAAAACTAGAGTAGCAAATTATCATTTTCACAGGATGATCATAGACTAGAACTCCACTTATGCAGTCCCATTTCTCTTTCACATATTTAAGTGATATAAATACATATTCAGAGGATGGCTGGAAAGGTCCTGTAGCAGCTTCCATAATGAGTGTCCAAAATATATAGTCAATTTAAATAAAAATTTGCAACCACATTTTGTATAGTATGTAAGTGGAAAAGGTTTTACTGGACTCACCCAAGTTTTCGAATACTTGGATCACGCTCTAGCCTGAAAAACACTAATGTAAATACAGTTTTTCTGTGCTATTTAGTTATGACCTCTGTTGCACACACTTTTTAAGCCATGGTGATGACTTTTCCTAGCACGTAGTAGGAGTTTGATAAATACTTTTTAAATGGATAAACTATAATGTCCAGGCTCTCTTTCCCTTTCCCTTATAACCAAAGTTATAGTTGGACACAGAGTGCTATTTGTAGCCATGGAAAAGATAGTTGCCTTTTAACATCTTTCAGACCCACAAAGATACACACAGGCACAACACATACACAAATATGTTCAATCTAATCTGCCCCTCTTCTTTGTTTCTACAGCACCCCGTGGTGCAGTTATCACTGCATTTATTACATTATGCCATTATTATTAGTTTACTAATCTATTACCTTTGACTCTGAGCACCTTGGTATAGGTACATTGTTATTCATCTTTGTTACCTCGTATCAAGCACAATGCCTGGCTCATACAACTCAATGAGTTAAAGGACCTTGAGGATCAATCCTAATAAATGTACTCAACCATACAGTCAGCAGCAAAGAAAATCCCTTTGTTAACCTGACAGTTCTAAGTAAAAATCATTTCAACCAATCCACCCAAATTCTGTCTGTTGAAACATGAAACTTATAAAACAAGAAGGAGCATATTAGCAATAACCTTGCATGGAAAGTTCCTGTCTTCAAGAATTTACTGAGACTTTATTCACACTACATTAACTTTATCTATTCACTGCTGTGGCAGATAAGGATAGGAAGTGGGCAGGGGGTGGAGGATAGGCCTTCCATTCAAAGAAAAGCTGGCAAACAGGCTTACCTCTTCAGACTGCTCCCGGGTCTGTGCAGGTGAAGATCTTCTTCCCACTGTAAGTCGATGGCAGGGGTAAGAGAGCCCTGATTCAGCTAGACACATCTGCAAAAAATTGAATCCATCATTTGTAAACAAATGAGGCCCTGTTTCAACAAAAGGATTTTACTTTTTTGATATTTTCTATTACTTTTGAAGCTAAAATTGAAAGCTTACTCTAGTAGCCCAGGCATTGAACTACCAGGAAGGATTTGAAAATTTGAAATTTTTCCACAACGGAATGTTAAAATAGCCAAGGCTGTTTTTCGTTAGACAATAGACTGGGGCTCCAGGAAACTGTAATAAGCCTAAAATAAAGCTAATCATATATATTACCTCCCTCCCCAGCATGTCTGTTACTTTTCTGATTAGCAGAATAATACCTCCGTTTCCTAATTCCCAGGGCAGTATCTATAAATCTTTTTTGCAGGGTACTTAGAAGAGTGTTTGCTGAAGGCATTTAAAAATAAAGTTTCCAGGGGCCGGCCCAGTGATATAGTGGTTAAGTTCACTTGCTCCACTTTGGCGGTCTGGGGTTTGCGGGTTCAGATCCCAGGTGTGGACCTACGCACTGCTCATCAAGCCATGCTGTGGCATCGTCCCACACACAAAATAGAGGAACTGGCAACAGATGTTAGCTCAGGGCCAATCTTTCTCACCAAAAAAAAAAAAAAAAAAGAAAGGATCCACACATGGTAACAATGTCATTTATGTTTTAATGAATATTAATCCACAATTTCAGATCATTATTATAGCTTATGAATCTATACTGTATGTAAAGCATCTAGCACAGTACCTGGCACACACTCAGTTTACTGATTTATTACCATAATGATCTAAAACACTACCCAAAGAATCCGTCTAGTTTAGCCAAAACAATGAGAGCAACATATATTTGCTTCTACTGAAGTTTATAGTGGGTCAGATATTAAATAACTATTTTGAGGTTGAAATTAAATTTGGGCAAATATGAGTGCATGTCACTTTTGTCTATATAAAAGAATTAAAACAATATTAAATAGCCAAAAGAGGGTGTTTTTTTTGGTGGTCATGAAATGACACATGTGTATTTAATGTAATGATGATATAAAGTGCAGTTTCTTTTATTATTATTAGAAATAAAATAGGGTATCCACTAGCACACTGAAAACATCCATTGGTAACTTTTGAGGATGTGTGAATCAAACTGACATATGAGGAAACCCAAATATCTCTAACTTCATTGGGACCAGGCAAAGCCACAATAGTAGATTGGTCATAACTACAATTTGAACATGTGTTATAATCAGGCTAATTATCTGAAGATAAATTTTGGAATGGAAAATGCAAATGTCACATAAATATCCAGGTATTTTTAATCATGTGAGGTGTGTGCTGTCATATAGATTATACCAATAAAAATCTTATGTGTTTGATTATTGTTATTTTTCCTTTAGTCTTTTTAAAGGTTTTTGTTTGTTTTTGCATCTAGATGTTTTGGCATTGTACTGTACAAATGCTAGAAGACCTGATTAATAAAAAAATAAATAAATAAAAGCAAAATTGCATCGATTCTGTCATTTCTATTTAATAATATTTATCAACGTAATTGTCACAATTAGCTCAATTTACTTCATTTCGCTACGAATAAAAGCAAAGCTAAGTTGGATAAGAAGTACAGGCTAAATTTCAAGGCACGTGACCTTCACAATATTTTTCATTTGAAAAAAGTCCTCTTGCCCCACCCTGAAATCCTCTGGTAATGAAATAGTAATGATGGTAAATGTCACTGACAATCAGAAGCAGTGTAGTGTAATGGAAAGAAACTTGAACCAGGAGCCAGAAAAATCTTGATTCAAGTACTGCCTAGCCTCCTGATCTTGGAAAAGTCATTTCTCTATCCTAAGCCAGAGTATCCTCGTTCATTAATTGAAGTGAGTAAACTCTGCTCTAATCACCTTAATGGACTTCTGAAAGAGTTAAATGTGATGCGGTAAGTAAAAGCGGGCTTTGAAACTATACTGAAATAGCCATAAGAGCTCTTATCATTCCAATGATCATTATTTTTAGGACATGGAGAAGAGAAGTGTTATAATTAACTTTCACTGTGACTACTTTTGCATACAGCCCAGTCATGTGTAAGTTAAAAGAGGACATATTTTAGGAGGAACTGGAGGAAAGTGCTCACTACAAGTACATGGTAATACAAATGGGCTGGCTCCTCAATGGGCTTGTCTCCACAGTTATCAACATTAACCTTCCCTGTAGGTACTAAAAATTCCTGAAGATAACAGTAGAACGGCCAGGACTTTCTTCTTAGTCTACAGCTGACCAAGTGGGCCTCGGCATGATCCTATTTCAGATCCTACTAATCACAATGCACTGAGGAAATTCAAAGGTCAGGAATTTCTGAGTTACTATGTGCCCAGCATTGATTAAATATAAGGCATAGTGTCTGTCCTAAGAGAACATACATACCAGTTGGGGAGAGAAGAGATGCACATAGGAACAGGTACAGAAAAGGAATACGAGTGAGTGAAGATGGGGTTATCTCTCCACTAGGTAGTCTCTGTAGGGCTGGGGACCCCTTGGAAGGGACCGTAGTTACTCAGAGAGTGATTTCAAGAAGTTAGGGCTAAAACAACTGTTTGCGGGCCGGCCCGGTGGCTTAGCGGTTAAGTGCACGCGCTCCACTACCAGCGACCCGGGTTCCAATCCCGGGCACGCACAGACACACGGCTTCTCTGGCCATGCTGAGGCCGTGTCCCACGTACAGCAACCAGAAGGATGTGCAACTGTGACATACAACTATCTACTTGGGCTTTGGGGAAAAAAAAAGAGGAGGATTGGCAATAGATGTTAGCTCAGAGCCGGTCTTCCTCAGCAAAAAGAGGAGGATTAGCAGGGATGTTAGCGCAGGGCTGATCTTCCTCACAAAAATAATAATAATAATAATAATAATAATAATAATAATAATAATAATAAAGTAACTGTTTGCTAATAACCTAAATTTACATAGAAGATGTGAAGTCAAAAGGCTACATCCAGGCTGGCTCAATCACTCAATTGCCCAAAGACTGTGAGCAAAATCATTTAGAATTTCTGTACTTCAGTTTTCTTACTTACAAAATGGTGTAATACAATCTGTCCTTAATTTACATAATAGGGTAATACAATCTGTTCTATCTCCCTCACAGAGTTGGTATGAAGATCCTATGACATAACGTATGTGAAACCAAATGGTTATGTAATCATAAAGGAGCAATACTATTATCATTGTGCTATTTATTTTGCAAGAAATTGGAAAAAGAAAAAGTTTAGGACTGAAGGTTTGTTTAACTTCACAGTTGAAGATGGTTAGCTTTAAAAATTTAGATTTACATACATTACATTAGTTAATTAACCTATACATAATGGTAATCTTTCAATCACAAGATTGCTTTGACCTAATACAATGAAGAACTGTGACTCATTTTCAAAATATGTTTCAAGGCTTTATTCAGTTTTTTTTCTGGCCATGTTAGACTGTAATTCTCTGACTTACATCACAGATGCAGAGATTCAAAATAGGTTTACAAATTCAAGATTTCTTTATTTTATTATTTAATTCTATACCCTTAAACAAATGCCGCACATCTTGGGGTATAATCTTCTGGATGCTTGGGAATGGGTAGAAGTTGGGGGAAAGAGTGGAATTTTCATGCCTAAAATTTCACTGGCAAATTGATCCTACAATTAATCCTATTATATACATATAATGGGTTATGTTGTTGAATGTCATAGGAGTTTGTTATACATATTAAGACTTGATTAAGAGTAATTTTAGGTTTACAACAAAATTGAGAGGAAAATACAGAGATTTCCCCTATACTCCCTGCCCCGCCCCCTACATGCATAGTTTCTGCCATTATCAACAGCACTCACTAGAATGGTGCATTTTTTTTTTTTGGTGAGGAAGATCAGCCCTGAGCTAACATCCAATGACAATCCTCCTCTTCTCGCTGAGGAAGATTAGCCTTGAGCTAATCTGCGTCCATCTTCCTCTACTTTATATGGGACGCTGCATGGCTTGACAAGCAGTGCGTCGGTCCATGCCCGGGGTTCCGATCCCGTGAACCCTGGGCTGCAGAAGCAGAGCACGGGAACTTAATTGCTACGCCACCGGGCCGGCCCCTGAATGATGCATTTTTTTTTTTTACCAAGGATGAACCTACATTGACACATCATCATTATCCAAAGTCCATAGTTTACATTAAGGTTCACTCCTGGTGGTGTACATTTTATGTGTTTTGAAAAAGGTATAATGACATTTATCTATCATTATAATATCATACAGAGTATTTTCACTGCCCTAAAAATCCTCTGTGCTCTGCCTGTTTATCTCCCCCTCCCCCCCAACCCTGGCAACCACTGATCTTTTTATTGTCTCCATAGTTTTGCCTTTTCCAGAATGTCATCTAGTTGGAATCATACAGTATGTAGCCTTTTCAAATTGCCTTTAAATGCCTTAAATAGGCATTTAAAGTTCATCTATGTCTTGTCATGGCTTGAAAGCTCATTTCCTTTTAGTGCTGAATGATACTGCATTGCCTTGATGTACCACAGTTTATTTATCCATTCACCTACTGAAGGACATCTTGGTTGCTTCCAAGTTTTGCCAATTATGAATACAGGTGCTATAAACATTTGTGTATAGGTTTTTGTGCGGACATAAGTTTTCAACTCCTTTGGGTAAATACCAAGGAGTGCAAATGCTAGATCATACGGTAAGAGTATGTTCAGTTTTTTAAGAAACCACCAAACTGTCTTCCAAAATGGCTGTACCATTTGCACTCCCACCAGCAGTAAGTGAGAGTTCCTGCTGCTCCACATTTTAGTCTTCTTGGCTTGTCTTCTGATTCTCTTGAAAGCAAGGACTTTCAGAGTCAGAGTGTCCTGACTTCAAATTCACTTCTGCTAGTCACTGTTCTATTATTTACTCCAATCAATATTTTTAATCTCAAACTTCAGTTTCTTCTTCTATAAAAACACATATTACCTTTCCTAACAGGCTTTCTGTGAGGATGGCTTAAAGGTGAATACATTTG